GTTAACTAACGAAAAAGAGTTGGGTGCTAAAGGTACTAAATCTCATCTGATGATTGGTTAGGATGTTATCAGGTATAGTCCTGTAATCTGCTCTGTGGGTCCCTCGTTAGTGGATCATCCTTAGGATAATGGACAGTGACGTCTGACCCATTGTCCTAGACAGAGAGTGACTAGCAGACTAATTGTACCATATATCATTAGGGTGTTTTAGAATGGACACAGGTGTACAATGTCCTGTTCTGTGATCCAGGTGGGATCTCTTTTAGCTGCATTCCTCTGCTTTTACACAGAGGCCCAAGCTGCTTTGTCAAAGCAACAGAAAAAATATTAGAAATCTTTAATAGCATTTAACTCTAATTGTAATAATGTGCCTTGCTGCTATAGAGTGTAGGTTCGACTATATGACTAAACAGTAATCGCATAAAATGCGATCAGTTTAATCCTTTGTAGCTGGTGTTTTTAATTTCTTGTAGAGGCGACTCAGCATCCTCTGACAGTCTCTTCACTACCCCTTATATGTCTTATATGTGAACTTCCCACTCTCTTAAAGGCAATAGAAATCACGTCACCAACTTACAGGGGGCTTGCGAGACCTAGTCTGGGAAAATCCAGCAGAGCTTCTTTTCCGAGACTAATTTCATGACTCGAAAAGTGAAGGCATCAAAACGATGATCTCTCACTTCACATTCTGTTCGCATATAGCTTTCACATGTACATTGATCATTGGCTGTTTCAAACATCTTCATTTATGGCGAAGATCACTGGAGGAGCTGATAAAAGAGAATAAGAAACGAATGGACCATGGAGATTTTAATCAATGACAAGTACATTTGTAGAGGTGACTGTTCAAAGATATCTCAGATGTCACAGTAGACTAGATAAGTACATTTTGTTGGCAAATAATACTATTGAGACATTGACCTTTGATAGAGTGTTGTTACAGGTTTATCAAAACAAGGTGCCTTATTATTTTTAATAATATTTATTACAAAATTTAATTAATGCATTTATGGAGTGATATCTCTGAGATCCCTGTAGCTTGACTCAGTTTTTTCCTCCAATTCCTCCACTTTGCAAATAATTGTATTTCAATCTCCTTCCTTCTTCTCTGCTATGAGCTCTTTTGCCAGGCAGTCTACCACATCAGTTTTACTTCCTTTGTTATTGTAGTAACTGAAATAAACCTAGAAGATCTTTTCATGCCTCACTTCTCAATTCAAATTCTCACTGCCATCAGGGCCACCTGATCACTGTCTGCAGTTTAGACAATGACACTGCTGATCCTGCCAACTCAGGATGGTGGTTGCTGTCTAGGAAGTCAGGCTCACAATGAGTGCAGAAGGAAAGGAATAGTTCTCATTGTGTCCTCCCTGGAAGTAGTCAGCTTCTAGAGATAACCTATAGGAAATCAAATGCGGAACTCTAGACCCTTTGTCATGTAATGTGTCCTATTTCCTGTGCAGAATTTTGAAAAAAAGTATTTTCTTGTCTTAATCTTCTATTGCATTCTGAAGTAGTTGTGGAATGATTATCCGCATTTGGCACACAAACAATATGTCCCCAGACAGGATTTTTTAAATGCTTTTTCTGCTTCGATGGGCTCACTCAGTGGCACGATCACAGAGTAATCAATAAGCACCACGGTGTGTCTGAAAACGAGCCAAAAGCATGATCACATTGCTTGTTCTGTCTAAACTTTGGCATCTCGGCCCCATGAAGTGCTATTCCATTGCTTGTAGCCCAAGCTTTTTAACAGGGCAAGGAGGACGTTTTGAAGAACAAAGCGCCCCAGTGTGGTACCTTCATCTATCTCACTGATTGGGCTTCCCATGAGGCCAGACGCTGTTGATTTTAAGGGGTGCGTACTTCCTGACTGGCTTCCTCCTCTGGTATGCAAAAATATACCAAAGCTTCCTTGGTAGCTTCGGAAAAGGTCAGGTAGGTCACTTTGCAGGATGTTACTGAGA